TTTTAACAAATTATTTATTTTATTACTAATATATTAAATAATTTCAATAAATATGTAATTGATCGATATTGTCAGTATCATCGATGTATCAATCTCAAAATAGAAGTGTATTTTTCTTATTGGATCAGAGGATTTAATAATTAAATGTTTATCCTTTAATAATATAACACAGTATAATTTTCATAACATGAAATACCATGTAATAATTAATATTGTTAATATTATATTTACCTGATACGACATTTGATATTTAATCATCATTACTAATGATATTCCAACATTTACAAAATAATACATATCGCTAAATCAAAAAGATATTCTTTTTAATATCTATATTAGAAATGCTATATAATAATAAATAAATATTTATTTGTTAATAACAAAACTGCTCAAAACAGTTAAAATTGAATCATTTATGCAATGTTTCGTTTGATTTTATATCAGTGATATATTATGTCCAATATACTTATTATAATCGCATGTTGCACGTAATTTATAATAAAATAATTAATAATAAAATACAAAATTGTGCGATCGTACCGATTGAAAGCCATGTAAATGTAAACGCTGCGTATATTAATATTAATGAACACTCTTTCGTAATCTGTGCTTTTTCTCAAGGGATTTATGTCGGGCGCGACTTATTCGTCCTAATGATCTTAAAATCCGATTTTCCTCGGTGTAATTAGAAAATGGTTGAACGCGTTGTTGCTCGCGGCTGGATTTCATCGTGGGTTTACCTTAATGGAAATACAAAATATTAATTTCATTGTGCTCTAATCGAACGTGTTAATATCCGAATGCATTTCTTACGTCCTATTCGTGTATGTTTGCGTGCATGAGTGTGTGCGTAGAGAGGCTTCCACTCGAGTCAAATTAATTTACTATATTTGACCCTCACGAAAATTGTCCGAAATTACGTTACCTCAAATTTTTTTATTTTATCTTGCATTTCCGTCTATTTCTCTTCATTATTAAAAAAAAATACGTTTCAGTATTTATCTAATAACGTTAACTTTTGTCTACTGAATATTGAATTAAAAAAGAATTATATGAAAGAATCTCGCAACAGGGTATCTCGCCATTGTAAAAATGGTCGAAACGGTTGCAACAAGGGACGTCAATATTCAATACAATGTTAATAATTACTCGTTGTCATATCGATCATTAGGGTTATTTTTTTTTTTTTTATTCGGATTATCGAAGCAGCACGAGATGGGAAAGCTGGCGCGTTACTCGCTCGCGCACAGAATCGGCAGGAGTATATCGTTGTTTCTCGTCGCTTTTGAGCACCTTCCACGGGGGAGAATATGGATTTCCGATACGAAACTTTTCAATCCGTTCCCGGACGATAAGAACCCGCCGAACTTACCGAGCGGATACCGCTACCGTTTATTGCCCGTCGAGGGCCGCATTTAAAAATATTTTATCGTGCCCGGTCAATACTTGCAACTCGTCGGCCGTCCAGTCCCCTTTCAGTCACGTCGATCTCATTTGCATCGCGGGTAACTTACATGCAAATCTGCGTTTACGCGCTCGTTTAACCCTCGCCTTCGACCTGAAGTCGCATGTTTTTACGCGTCGTTTAAAGCGCGAGCGGCCCACGTTCTCACTGAAGTTTAGGAATAAACTGCGGCATTCTCCGCTGCTGAAAATAGGGATGACAGTCGTGAAGGAATTTGTTTCGAAAAACTGATTGATGTTCGAGTAAACTCTGATTGGTGTTCGAAATCTCGTTTTGTTCATTGCTTAAACATGCATACATGCATCATAACACGTCAGAAAGTTTAGCGTTAATCATATGCGACGCTCTGGGATTTCTATATTTAATCGTAACTGATCAGTTCACAGAGATTTAGTACGCAAAGCATGGGCAATGATAACGAATCGATAAAAGATACTCGATTGCATATATTGCGGATGATTCAACTGTCATATGTGTTCAATTATTATACGACATATGTCGCTTTTTGTGACGGAGATAAATATACCTTAATACATTTATCTTCAATAAAGGAATAATAATAAGCGTGCGTTTGTGCATTAAGTAGGGATTAACAGCCAAATCAGATGGAAAATAATCAATGATGGAAAAATTAGTCATATAAAGTTTTAAAATGAGTTTTAAGATAAAGTTTAAAGATGAACGTTTTGAACTTTACTTAGACCGGTATTTATCTGTTCTTATCTAAGATCATTTTAAATAGGCTTATACGGTTATTTTATTGATTGAAATATAATCTTAAGATTTTAAATATAAGACTATGAATACCGCTCTTAGTCCTCATCAGCGTGTAACAAAAAATTAAGAAACATACGAAGTAGAAAAAATACAACATAATCAAACATAATCATTTTAATATTGAGAATAGCGATGTAAATAAATGCATAGATGCTTATTACATTTATCTCCCTTAAAAAGAATACATGTAAAAGATGAATATGTCTTAATATTTTTTTCAGAAATGTATAAAAATTAGCAGATTTTATATTTCTTAGTTTTTAATTTTTCATAATTTATAAATAAACTCTTATCCAGTTATTACATACTGCAGATAATAAAAAAAATTCAATAATGAATACTTTAACTTAATAAATATTTTAATAATAATTATACATTAAAAAAGTCTAATATTGTAATAATTGCTATATTATTGCAATATAAATATTAAATCTTTGCTAGTAAAATTATTCTGCTTTGAAATAAAAATACAAGTTTCGAATTTTTGTTTGTTGTACGTATCTATTCATTATGTGCACAAATAGAACATACTTAAAGCCTTAGTATAAATAAAAAAGGAAACTACGTCCCTGTACTGAAGAATGTTGCTCTAGAGGCATTCTTCATTTAAATTTGCTCCCAATACGCAGAGGCAATGATGCATTATTTACCTATACGCATTCGTGAACGATCTCCTCGGGAGGTATTTCATATATACTTAAATTTACGGAGTTTTCAGAATTGCGACCTCGTGCGCCCGCGTTTCCGCTCTGCTTCTTCGCCCAGCATCTATCCGCCGAAATAAAATAAAACTCAGCGCTATATAGCTAGCTAACGTAACGAGTTTGCATGCCGTGGAAAATCACGACGGGTAGATACCACGCGAAATGTTCGTTTCCCTCCAGGAAAGATAATTTATATACGGACGCGAAAGAGAAATACACGCGCATTGAATAATCTTGACGCGATATCGCACCAATTCGAATATCGATGCACGGTTTTTTCCGACGCGACATTTGTTCCCAAGCTGCCGAAAATAACATCGGGCTTTTGGAACACGACGAGTTAAGTTTGTAAATTCTTTGTACGGGATAAAAATGAATTTTTTCTTACGTTTAACGTTTTCTTACGTTTTCTTATCTGTATTATAAAATAAATTTGGACAATTTGACTTGGTTATTTATTTTATTTTGTAAACATTAATAGATACGCTACGTAATTATGGGGGAGAAAATGTAATTATGGGGAAAAAAATTCATATTCCTTTTGCAGAATGTAAAAGCGTAAAAACGGACATTGTTTTGTTGACTAGAAAAAAAAAAGGGAAAAAGAGTTCTAGTGTGCTACACATGTGTTAGATCGCGGCGCACACTTATTAACTGTCGGAACCATCAAAGATAAAATAACGCGATTTATATTTTCTCCCTTACACGTACGTTTTTCCCTAGAGACAGACAAGCGCGAGATTGGAATGCCTCGTTGTACAAAGAGGCATTTCATGAATGGCTGAGAGCAACCTGCCATCCGCGGAACGAAAACATTTTTGTCGAGCTGCTAGAACGAGGCCCACGTGAACTCGTTATCTCAACGAGTGCAAAACTTACAAAAAAAGAAGTTAACTGAATTTTTGCGTGCCGTGTCGAAAGAGCTGTGAAAGCTACGAAGAAGAGAAAAGAAAACTATGCGCGCAAAGATCGCAACAAAATAAATTCCGATTGACTCGCTACGTACATTCGTTGACAGATTAATACTTTGGCAAATACGAATGTTGGAATCCTCCTTCAATACTAAATAAAATCGATGGTTATATTTTTATATGCATTAAATGTCATATCACGTACAAGAAAGGGAAATGAATATCCCAAGTAAATTAACAGATGTAAATGTATTAGTATTGAAACAAATTGCGCATTTCTTCCGCGATTTTTTTTCTCGTCGATACGTCGACGATGCAACGCGAAGAATTCAAGGGATGTTACCCTGTTTTGTCCCTATGGTCATATCTCTTGATCAGTGAAAAATAGAAGATATCTTGGAGAGATATCATAGAATGTTAGGCACTTTGAAAGAAATGGAGGATACATTTCTGTATGCAGATTGGTGATGTGTGTGTGTGTGTGTGTGTGTGTGTGTGTGTTTGCACGCGAACGTCTTGGGACTTGCCGAATACATTTGAAAAGTATCGGTAGGAAAAGAGAGATTCATCTCGACTCACTGGAGAATTAAGTTTGAAATTTACGCTTCTTGTGGAATGGGCGCGAGTTGATGAAGTTATTAAAAACGTCCTACATTTCTTTAATCTCTTAGCTACTTTGCTCCAACTTCTTGTATCTCTTGAATTTTCGATGGAAAATGCTGTGCTCCTTCTCAACGTTCTTAGTATCAGAAAATTGGTTTACAGCTCTAGCTTTGACGATTGTGCATTTCAAGCCATAAATTGCAATTTGTAAAGTATTTTATTTAACCACGTCTAAATTTTCCCTCCAATGCATCTGCAAATCATTTTATATATCAATATTAGATTTTTTTTTATAATTATTCTAATATAATTAATCGATAACTGTATCTAAGACAATCTTTCTTACATTTTTAATTTTTTACGTAGGATTTACATTGACAATTTTGTAAATATTTTACATAAAATATAAAAAGCCAAGTATAAAACTAAAACTTTTACGTATTTCTAATTCAATTTTAATTTTGTTAAATTGTCAAATGTCACTAAATCATTAGCATATTCACAATTCTTTAATGGCACTGCGTATCGTTATAATTTCAGATTATTTGAGGAGAACGCGGAATTGCTAAATATGTTTACAAAGTTCCAAGATATGAAGACAAAAGAGCAGCAGGCGACGAGCATGGAACTGGCCGAGCATGCGAAAACGGTCATGTCCACCCTCGACGAAGGTATCAAGAGCCTGGACGATATGGACGCGTTCCTGACGTATCTTCACGAAGTCGGAGCCTCTCACACGAAGATTCCCGGCTTCAACCGACAGTACTTTTGGGTGAGTCCTCCTCGAAAGGAAATCACCCTCACGCACTCTGTCATGCGCGACGCATGAATACGGCATGAATACGCGATACTTTGTGTGTCCCAGTTATTGAACTATTAACTTAGAAAATGAGACAATATGTAATATGATTGGAAGAGAAATAGAATAATGTTACCCAAGACTAGCTTTAATATTTTAGATGTAATATAGTCAATGATTTATTTTTGGCTTTCTTATTATTGTACACACATAACGGTATACATTTACAAGAAATATTTGTAAAAATTAAAAAGAAATATTGAAAGAAGATCAATTTTTATATACATTTTCAACAATCAATAACTTTTTAGTATAGCTATTTTAAAAATTAAGTATTTGAAATATTTATATTACTTTCTGCAAAAATATATTTTTACATAAGCAACTTGATTGACGGCATGCCATGCAGAAAACGTTGGTGGTTTATCTTAGAATATACCGAGAAAACGCGCGAAAATTTCTCACTCGTCGGAAATATATCTCACATCTTTCGGTGAACATTTTCTCTTTGTGTTGCGCTTATCTCTCATAACATGTAAATCAAAGAGAGTGGAAACTTTTGGGAGACACTGTAAACTATTTCAGGACTTGTCACCAAGTAGAAGATTTATGCACAATTAAAGTATAATGACGTAAATGTGATACAAACTTTCGTTGCATTGCTAGTAATGTGGACGTTTAACTCTTAATGCGTGACACATTTAATTTCTATAGTACACTAGGAAACATACTTTGTGTTGTCTCACACATTTTTTTTTATTTATACTAAAAATACTAGAATATCATCAAGCGCATGACATTTATTCTCTGACATTGTATATTTTTGATAACATATAACTATAAATTTTACAAGTTATTGAAATTTTCAATTGATTAATTTGATTTTTATTTGATTTGATTTCTTTTTTCTTCTATTAATATATAGACCAAAATTTATAGTTTACTCTCTTATTTAATATTGTTTTACAGATTCAAGATGTAAATAAGATTTAAGATATATAATCAATTACAACATTGCATATTAGCATCTATTACTTAAAGTCTTATAATTAAGACAAACTGTGAATGCTAACCATAGATTTATCCAGCTTTATACCAGCATTATTTATCATTTATCTTTATCAACACACAAACACACACACACACACACACACACACACACACACACATACACACACACACACACACACATACACGCGCGCGCGCGCACTCAAGTAATAAG